CTTTAGCAGTGGTTCAAACTTTACTCGCCATCAGAGGATCCACACTGGTGAGAAGCCCTATGAATGTAAAGAATGTGGGAAGGCTTTTAGTAGTGGTTCAAATTTTACTCAACATCAGAGAATTCACACTGGAGAGAAACCGTATGAATGTAAGGAATGTGGCAATGCCTTTAGTCAGAGTTCACAGCTCATTAAACATCAAAGAATACATACTGGTGAGAAACCCTATGAATGTAAGGAATGTGAAAAGGCTTTCCGGTCTGGCTCTGACCTCACTAGACATCAGAGAATTCATACTGGAGAGAAACCCTATGAATGTAAGATTTGTGGGAAAGCCTATTCTCAGAGCTCACAACTTATCAGTCATCATAGGATTCACGCTGGTAAGAAAGCCTATAAATATGAGGACTGTGGAAAGAACTTTAACTATGACTCACAACTTATTCAGCATCAAAACTTATATTGGTGATAAACAAAAACATACAAGATGTATGTGAAGACTCAAAACAGAGAATCTACCTTTAAAACCCCTCTAGACTGAAGAATGTAGAAACAGTTTACTTGTCAATGACAGCTTGTTCATCTGAAGAGAATTCATATTGGAGAGATAACCTATGAATATAGTATATTCTGGAAGCCTTTTAGTAACTGTTCCTATTTTTATTGACCCAGATTGTTCAGTCTGCACATAATTGAAAACAATACTTTGAACTTAAACATCAGAATTCATGTAGGAATGTAATCTTATGGTTTTCCTTATTTCCTTAGGTTTTTTTTTTTTAATATAATTGTTACATTAACATTTTAATCCATTTTGACTTTACATGGCTATAAAATTTTTCTGTTAACATAGTTTCAAAATACCTTAATTTTTAAAGTTAATGAAAGTGCCATTTTTAATTTTAAAGGTGGTTTTTTTCTTTGGCTTTTTATAAAGCACGCTCTTGTAAACATGCTCATGAACAACCTTCATCAGGGTAAATGGGAGCTACATGACCAAACACCTTAGAAAAGCAACTTGAAGGGTGTCACTGCGGTTGGAACACAGCCACACATCAGCAGTTGCCTGAGGTTCTCTTCAGAGACCTCCACCCAGGCCAGACTGTGAGTCATGGCCTCACAAGAACTTCAGAGGGACCCAGATATGAAGCAGAGTTGGATTTATTACAAATAGAAATGAATGCTCTAAGAGAGAAAGGGAAAAGTGGGCTGACAGGAGGGATGTGGGTGTCTAGGGGAGTCACAGTTAGGTTCTTACAGTGAGTACTTAAGGGATCTGATGGCTTTCAAGTTACATCTGAAAAGACTGCTAAGAAAGCAACTCTTTTCTAACATTGCCCCCAAAGTGTCATTTGTAACAAGGTTAAGAGTTAAAGAATTTTTATAGACGGGCTTGATTGTCCACACCTTTAATCCCAGCAACTCAGGAGGCTGAAGCAGGTAGATCTCTGAGTTGGAGGCCAGCCTGGTCTACAGAGTGAGTTCCAGGACAGCCAGGACTGTTACACAGAGAAACCCTATCTCAAAAAAACAAAAGAAAAAAACTTAAAAGAACTTTTCTCAGTAAATGAAGTTGTGTGGTGGTTTACAAGGAGAACCAATCACTTAGGTACAGAAGAGATCGTGCCGGGAACATAAGGTTATACGTCCTTGAAAGCCCAAGTGAGCACAGCCTAATCGCTGTTGACATCCTTGATGGAGATTGGAGATGGCTGCTGGGAAAGTGTCAGCTGGTACAGGCAGAGCAATTTGTTTGTAGAGTTTTGTTAGGTTGTTTCATTTCATGTGCCTGGGTGTTTTGCCTGCACATGTGTACATGTACCAGCTATGTGCCTGGTGTCCTTGAGGCCTGAAGAAAGATTGCAGCCCCTGAAACAGGAGTTTCCAAATGGTTGTGAGCCCTGTGGGTGCTGAGAACAGAACCCAGGTCCAATGCTCTCAAGCGCTGAGCTGTCTCTTGTCCTGAAAATAGTTTACTTGCTGACTCTGACGAGTTGTCTTCTGGAACACACACAGTTTTTATGAGCTGTTAGGTCCTTCTCAGTGGAGTCTGAAGTCTGCCTATGTGGGCTTAAAAGCATGAGGTCTCTAAGCCTTTTCTCCTGGGACACTGAGGTTCCCTGTCTTTCTATCCTGCTGTGGAGTTCAATATGGTTCACAGTTTGAGGGTACACCTTGGCAGGACAGGAATGGCAAAAGGTTTGTGAAGCTACTGGTCATGTTGAGTCTGCAGTCGGGAAGCAGAAAGGTGAATGCAAGTGCTTAGCTTGCTTAGAATTTTTTTTCTAGATTTATGTGTATGAGTGTTTTGCCTGCATGTATATATACACCACATTTGCTTATGGATGATGAAGAGCCACCATGTGGGTGTTGGGAATAACCTGGGTCCTCCGTAAAAATAGCAAGTGCTCTTCGGTATTGAATCCCCTGGTGTCCCTTGTCCAGTAGCCCCCAACCCCACAAACATGCTCTTTTTGAGTTCAGGGTGTATCTTCCTACTTGAGTTAAAGCTGTGTGGAAATATCTTATTCTCTCACCCCCAGACTCCCAGAGATATGTCTTGTGAGTCTAAATCTCAAGTTGACAATCAAGGTTAGTGGCCCTTCATGGTGGCACATGGGAAGCAGAGGCCAGCCTGGTCTACAGAGTAAGTTCCAGGACAGCCAGGACTACACAGAGAAACCCTGTCTTGAAAAACAAAACAAAACAAAAAACTTAGCAATCACAGGACTCTGACCTTGACAGTGTTTCATTGTGCAACTGCAAATCACTTTAAGTGCCTTGTCGGGCCTGCTGACAGTCAGCTGGGTAGCTGGGTAGAGGTGTGCGGATTGAAGAGACAATGAAGAGGACAAAGTCGAGAGGTCTGCCTGTCAGAGGTAGAACAATGCACAGCGCAGGCATTCAACCACTATCCTGCCTTGCATCAAGGGGCAGGCAGTTTCATTTTCTATCTCGATGTATCTCCAGCTGGCATCTAGCTAGATAGTGTGTTCCTTCTTGTGGGCTAATCAGAACTTTCTCACAGCCTTGGAGCAAACAAGCTTAAACTTGACTGACTCAGAATAGACTTCAGATTCAAACTGGGAAACTGAGTCAGTTATAGGCTTCGACAGTGCCTCCTAGTGGACTTTATTGTTGGGTTCAGGGACTTTGTGGTGTTACATGCTGAAATACATACCCCAGTGGGCATTCTCCCTAGGCATTTCTTTGTGGTGTATATGAATGTCTTCATGTATGTGTGTGCACCACTGACGGGTGGCCCGGGAGGTAAGAAGAAGGCATTGAGTCCTCTGGAACTGTAATTATGGATGGCTATGAGCCACCACATAGTGCTGAGAACTGAACTCAGATTTTCTGTAAGAGCAACCAGTGTTCTTAACCTATGAGCCATCTCCTCAATTCAGTTATTTATTTGTTTGTTTGTTTTGAGACAGGGTGCTTCTACATAACGCCAGCTATACTAGAACTTACTGTATAGACCAGGCTGGCCTCAAACTCACAGAAATCTGCCTACCTCTGCCTTGGATTGTGAGCACAGGGATTAAAGGCATGTGTCACCATCCTGGTCCCACATTTTATTTTTTCAGTTTTAGTTTGTGTGTGCAACAGTCTTGCTATGGAGGTCACAGGGGAGCTGGGTCTCTCCTTCCACCATCTAGTTCCCGGGGAATGAACAGCAAGTTCTACTGAGCCATCTTCTGGCTTAGATGCCCTTAATATGAATATTAACTGTAGAAATAAGACTGTTTTCCTTATGGAAGATTTAAACATAAATAAGACAGAAACACCTTTTTGTTTTCCCAAAGAGTAGTCATAATCAGTGGTTTACTTAGATGGCAAGGTTTTTGTTTGAGATCAGGAGTGTTTTTTTTTTTTTTTTTTTAATTACATCTATTTCATGCATGTGTGTATGTTCTACAGCACATTACATGTGTGGAGGCCTGAGAATAACTTGTAGGAGTTGGTTCTCTTCCAGTATGTGAGCCCTGAGGATTGAACTCAGGTCTTCAGGCTTGGCAGCAAGTACTTTTAATCTCATGCCCCATGATGTCACCTGGCTGGTTTCCCTCTTGGCCTCCATTGACTCCCTATCTCTGCCTCCAGAGTAGCTGTGACTTCAGGTGTGAGTCATCATGCTCATCTTGAGCTGTTAGGCAGGTGGGTTGAGACAGGGTCTCTCTATGTACCCCTGGCTGGCCTCAAACTCAGTACTCATGCCCAGACTTAGGAGTGCTGAGGTTTTAGGCTGATACTCAGCTAGGACCCTTTGGGGGTGTTTTGGTTGTTTTTTATTGTTTGCTTATGTTCGTTTTTTTTTTTAGATGGGCTTTTCTGTGTAACAATGTGTGCTGGAACTTGCTCTGCAAACCAGGCTGGCCTCGAACTCAGAGATTGCCTGCCTCTGTCTCCCAAATTGTGGGATTAAAGGTGTGAGCAACCACCACCCGGTGACCCTCTTGTTGTAGAGCTCTGTTTTTTAGTGGGTACTGTCAGTAGGAATGCTTATACCACCTACCCCAGTATTTCATTAGGATTAAGTTAGTTAAGATTCATGGCACTTAGGGTTGTGCCTGAGAAAATAATAGGCTGCTAGTCACTGCTTTCTAGTCATTGAAGGCTTAACTTTCTGCAGATCATAGTATTAAGGAATACAATTAAAGATGATGAATGAATCAAAAGTTTAATCATTACTTTTACTTTATGTATTTGAGACCCGGTCTTATCGTATAGCCTTGGCTGGCTTGGAATTCACTATGTAGCTCATTTGCAGTCATCTCCATAACAAGCCCATCATTATATCAAATAACGCAATTTTCCAGAGGAAAACCAGCCTTTTCCCCAGATGCTTAAGCAAAGCTGAGGTCCCCGCTTCTCCCCTAGTCCGGCGTCCCCCAACCAAGCTCTTGGTGAGTGCCCAGCGGGTTCCCGGTCCGCTCCGGCAGCGCCTGCGCACTGGTGCGTGCGGCTGTCCCTCCCAGCAGCCCCCGCGCGCGGCCCTTTGAGCCCTCCGGGTCCGGTCTTTAGTCTTGGCGCTTTTGCAGCCGGCGTCACCTGGGCGTGGGCGGGGCCGCCGAGCGGCGCTAGCTGGGTGTCCGGTCCTGGTCCCCTGGGCGTAGTGAAGGCTCCCCAGGGAGCGGGGCAAGGGGTGCAGGGAGGGACCGGGGCCCGCGACCGGGGCTGCGTGGGGACGACCGAGGCGAGCTGTGCCTGCGGGGCGTGGCGGGGTGGCACGGCGGCTGAGTGCGGCCAGGAGACCACAACGTGATGGCATTTGTGTGAGTGAATGGGATGCAGGGCGGCTGGTGTGAGCTCCATTGCCAAGGCCGTGGAGTATGGCCTCAGGGTCGGCTGCAGTGTAACCACGTCAGTCCCAAAGATGAATGGTCCCCAGCCATTCACCTGAGCGCCACACAAAAGACTCCCAGCAAACAAAGCAAAGAGCTCCGGATCTTGGGCAAAGAATGGTAGGGTAGAGCTGGCTCCTTGGGGATACCTTCCCCCCACTCCCCAGCCTACCACACAAGCAAGGACAGTCACACACTGGGCAGGCTGTGTGGCGTCCAACTAGAAAGCTATTGTAAACTGGCGATGCCAGCCCTGGCCATCCGCTGCCCTGGCCTTTCCTAGACACCAGGAAAGGACAACTGTGCTCACCTTCTGTGTGTGAGTGACGGATGGCAGTGAGAGGACTGGTTGTACTCTGTGTTTTGATTTAACCAGGCTGGACAAGGCTCCAAGGAAAGTTGGAATGTGAAGATTCTCTCCTGCCCCGCTCCTGCTGAAGTCTTGAAGCCTCACAGGAACAGAAGCAGGACATTGCTGTTGCCTGTTATAAGGTAAGGTTAAGGGAATCGAATGTTACCTCGTTGATCTGTGAAATGCATTTTTATTTTTTAGTAGATAAGAACATTTGTTATTTGTAAATGTCTATTTCTTGGAAACAGTGCCTAACTCCTTACACCATATGCCTGTATGCACATATCCACTTTTCAATGCTTAGTACTTAAAACCTCTCTCAAAGGAGACTTAAGGCTTATTTTATGACTGTACTATATTATTTATTTAGGTTTTTCAAGACAGGATTTCTCTGTGTAGCCCTGGCTGTCCTGGAACTTAAGTCTGTAGACCAGGCTGGCCTCTAACTAAGAGATCCGCCTGCTAAGTGCTGGAATTAAAAGAGTCATAGTCCAGAAGTTAGAGAAACATCATCCTTTACAGTAGCCACAAATAATATAAAATACCTTGGGATAACACTAACTAAACAAGTGAAGGACCTTTTTGATAAGAATTTTAAGTCTCTAAAGAAAGAAATTGAAGAAGATATCAGAAAATGGAAGGATCTCCCATGCTCATGGATAGGTAGGATTAACATAGTAAAAGTGGCAATTTTACCAAAAACAATCTACAGATTCAATGCAATCCCCATCAAAATCCCAACACAATTCTTCACAGACTTGGAAAGAAAAATACTCAACTTCATATGGAAAAACAAAAGACCCAGGATAGCTAAAAGAATCCTGTACAATAAAGCAATCTCTGGAGGCATCACCATCCCTGACCTCAAGCTCTATAGTAGAGCTTGGTACTGGCATAAAAATTGACATGTGTTCATATATTGACACATATGAACACCTGATTTTTGACAAAGAAGCCAAAACTATACAATGGAAAAAAAAATTCATTCATAAAATGCCTCTGAGTCTTCATTCCACAGACCCGCGTGAACCCACACCCGTGACGAGACACACAGTAACATGTGGGGGTCATTCTCTTTGTACCATGTAAGCTCTAGAAATCAAACTTAGGTCATCACCAATCTTGGTGGCAAGTATCTTTACCAGCTGAACCATTCTGTCAGCATACTTTGATATACATCTTTGATGACCATATCTTATATATAATTGTTTTCTTTAGTCCTCAGAGTAGAATTTCTGAGTCAAGGTTTTTGCATGCAATAATTCTACTTATACATACTTTTAAATTCTATCTTTGGCATACTGGCTAGAATGTCCATTTCCTTGTATTCTTTTTTTTTTTTTTTTTTTTTTAAGACAGGGTTTCTCTGTGTTGTTTTGGTGCCTGTCCTGGATCTCACTCTGTAGACCAGGCCTCGAACTCACAGAGATCTGCCTGGCTCTGCCTCTGCCTGGCTCTGCCTCCTGAGTGCTGGGATTAAAGGTCTGTGCCACCACCGCCCTGGCTTCCTCATATTCTTGATAATGTGAGCACTGATACTCTTAAAGTGAGATTTTTATATCCTGGGAGTTTGATATCATTTCTGTTTTGTCGTGAATTATGAGTGCCGAGTCTCTGTCATTGAATCAGGGAATCCTGTGTTTCATGAACTAGGGCTAGGACTAAGTGAGAGCCAGCTTTGTGGTGAGGATAGGTGTTCCATATGTATCTTTGCTACTTCCCAACTTTCAATTTTACAAGCCTGATTTAATTTCTTTTATTGTGGGGTTTCTCATCTATTGCATGAATAGAATATTATACTAAGTAGCAATCCTGAAGATATAATGTAATGTTTAAAACATTCATCATAAATAAGGGATGATGGTGCATCCCTGTAATCTCGGCAGGAGGAGGCAGGAGGATCCGAACACTTTGGAAGTAGGCTTGGCTGTGGGCAGGCCGAGCAACAGTTTCCCAGTACTTGGTACTTAGGAATTTCTTTACTTATGTCTGGTGAATCCAGGTGTACTTTTGAAACTTTGAAGGAGACTGGGTAAGATGTTGTGGCCCTAGATGTAGAGATCATCTGAGGACTTTTGAGGCCAATTTCATCTCATGGACTTGTTTTCTTCCCCTAGCTCTGGCCTCAGTGGACTCTGCTTCTTCTGAGAAATACATTTCAGGGAAGACTGTTGAATTTCTAAACCATGGCCCGTGTAAGTTAACTGTTCATATTTTTTTTCTGGAAACACTATCATGTTGAGGTCCTGTGAATACTTCTCCTTTGAAAATTCTTTTTATGTATATGAGTGTTTATATATGCACCATGGATATGAAGTGTGTGTGTGTGTGTGTGTGTGTGTGTGTGTGTGTGTGTGTATACCACGAGTGCCAGGGTTCAAGGGGGCCAGAAGAAGGTGTCAGATCCCCTGGAATTGCAGTTAAAGTTATAAGCCACCATGTAGGTGTTGGGAACCTAACCCAGGTCCTCTGTGAGAATAGTGAGTGCTCTTAATGGCTGAGCCTTCCTTTCAGCCACACGGGAACGTTTCTGTATTGTGAGACTTACTGTCAGAACCCCATCTGGGACCTTCCTCTTGGTTGTTTCAAATCCACTCAGTAAAGAACATGGGCATTGTATTTTCCACAGCTGTCATTCATGTGCTCACTGAACAAATCATTATCTTTAAGCTGATGAAAGAGGATAGGGTCATTTAACTACTCATAGGAAGATTCTTGGGCTTTTCTAGATTTTAGTTTTCTAAGTATATAAAATTTGCTATTGGCGGGGTTATGGTGGCCTTTAATCCTAGCACTCGGGAGGCAGAGGCAGGGGGATCTCTGTGAGTTCAAGGCCAGCTTGGTCTACAGATCTAGTTCCAGGACAGTCAGGGCTACACAGAGAAACCTTGTCTGGAAGAACAAAAACAAAACAATTTTCTGTTGTTCCTGGGCATTGGTAGCACATCCTTTAGTCCCAGCACTCAGGAGGCAAGGGCAGGTGGATCCCTTGAATTTGGGGCTAGCCTGGTCTACAGAGGACAGCTAGGGATACACAGAGAAACCCTGTCTTGAAAAACCAATAAACAAACAAATAAATGTGCTGTTGTTTGGCTTCAGCTAAGACATGGTGAGATCTTGTAGATTTAGGGTTGGGTGGGGAAGTGTCTGGAACTTGCTTTCAGAGAGATTTAGATCTTCACTAGGAATCCCTGTTATGAGCAGTGTCACATTCGCAGTAGACTAGGTTATGCTAGGGTTACCACGTACGGCCCCCATTCCTCAGCTTTTGTGTGGTTGCTTGAGTCTGAGCTCAGGTCCTCATGCTTGTTTGGTTACCCACTGAGCCGTTTCCCAGCCCCTGACTTTTCTGGAAGACAGGACTGGCACTAGGGACGATGACCCCTTTAACCCTGGCCCTTGGGAGGTTGAGGTGGTGGGATGGCTGCTAGTCCCAGGTGATCCAGACTACAGATTCTGTCTCTAAAACAGAACCAAAAACCAGAATCAGTGAAGCAGCTCAGTGGGCCAAAGGTCCTTGCTGCAGGGTGACGTCAACCTAGAGACCTGAGATCGACTCCGGTAACCCACAAGGTGGAAGGCAAAAACTGACTCCACAAAGTTGTCCTCTCACCTCCACATGTGTGCATGCAAAGAGACACTCTCATGCGCGCATGCGCGTGCATAGTTATTGGTATGTAGCCCAGGCTGGCCTTACATTCATGGTCCTCCTACCTCGCTCGTCACAGTACTGTTGTCTCTTCCCCTAGTCTCTCACTCTTGACTCCCGGCCTACAGTGTGTTCATCACATGACCAAAAAGAAGCACAGGGAGGGACGGGCTTGTTTGTTTGTTTGTTTGTTTGTTTGTTTATTTAATTTCATCTTGCAGCTTCTTGTCCATCATGAAGGAAAGTCAGGACAGGAACTCAAGGCAGGAACCTGGAGGCAGGAATGAAGCGGAGACCAGGGAGGAATGTTGCTTACTAGCTTACTCTTCCTGGCTTGCTCAGCTATCTTTTGTTTTGTTTTGTTTTTTTGAAACAGGGTTTCTCTGTGTAGCCCTGGCTGTCTTGGATCTTGCTCTGTAGACCAGGTTGGCCTTGAACTCACAGAGATCCTGCTGCCTCTGCCTCCTGAGTGCTGGGATTAAAGGCTATCTTTCTTTTACAACAACCAGGACCACCCAACCAGATCTGCACCGTCCACAGTGGTGCTCCCACATCAATCAATTCTGCAGACATGCTCACAGGCCAGTGTGATGGAGGCAGATTCTTAGTTGAGGTTCTCTTCCCAGATGACTTAGCTTGTGTCAAAGTGACAGAACCAACCAGCACACTCTCGTGGATTAGCGCTATCGTCTTTGCTTTTCCAACATGTTTGGACTATTGAAGTATGTCAGGGTATGTAGCAGCTGAAGGTGATGGTTCATAACAGAGAGAGGATGGAAGTTGGGGGGGGGAGGGGGAGGGGAAATAGCAGCAGGACCCTCCTAGAGCACATACGCACCTTGCTTTAGGACCCTCATTTTCCTCTGAGAACCTCCTAGCTCAAGCCTGTTTGCTATAATGGCCCGCTTTTGAGCTGTGGTGGATCACACTTTTAATACCAACACTTGGGAGGCAGAGGCAGGTGGAGCTCTATGAGGCCAGCCTGGGCTACACAGTGAGTGCATTCCATAGGGAACATTTGTCTCAAAACAAGCAAATGCCCACTTCTCTCAGTATCTCTTCCATATCTTTTCTTTGGGCTTTAAATGCTTTTTGTCTGTTTAGTTGTATCATCTGGTCTGTCATTCAGGTATCAGTGATGTTCAGTGATGTATCCATAGCCTTCTCTCGGGAAGAGTGGGAGTACCTGGACCTCTCTCAGAGGGATTTGTACAAAGACGTGATGATGGAGAACTACCGCAATGTGGCCTCCCTAGGTAAGCTTCTCCCTTCAGCGATTTGGATTGTATTCTCTAACGTCCATTCTCTCTGGAAATTTCCCAGAAACCATTCGATTTTCTTTTGCATTCATTTACTTATTTACTTATGTATTGTGTATGTTGTGGGGGAGGGGCATGCACATGCTGTAGTAAGCATGTGGAGGTCAGAGGACAGCATTTGAAAACTGGCTCGTCTTCCACTGTCTTCTGGGAATGAACTTAGGTTGGCAGCAGTGCCCTCCCCCTGTGCCCTCCCCCCTGCCTTACACTGTTTTTAAGGAGATGGTGTGAACATTTATTCAGGAGTAAGTACTTTCATTAAATATATTCACTTTCCCCGTACTCAAGGGACCTTTGGGCCCTTTATAGTGACAGAATTTTTTTTAAATTTTTACTTGTTTGAGATGTGGTCATATTTTATGGTTCAGGTTGGTCTGCAGCTCTCCATCTTCCACCTGCCTCAGCCTCTTGAGCCGTGGGATTGCAGATATGTGCTACTTTAGTGACTAGACTTAAATGTAGCCTTATCAATATCAAAGAAGACGTTTCGCTTTTTAAATGATTATTTATTTTTTATTTATGCACATGAAGAGGGGGCCATGCTTGTGCAGTGACATGTGGAGGTCAGAGGACAACTTGCAGGACTGGATTCTCCCTTCCAACATGTGGGTCCTGGGGACTGAACTTGGGTCGTCAGGCTTGAGGGCAAATGCCTTTACCCGCTGAACCATCCACTGGCCATCACTTTGTTTATATGTTTTGTTGTTGGTATACCTATAAGGAAAATAGCTATGCCTTGTTTCTTAGTTTTTCTCTAGCAGAAGAACATATATAGTTTATATAGTGGTGTTATTTCCAGCTCAAGGTAACCCATTTCATTACCTTTGTTAATGAACCATCAGTTTTACCAACTTTGGTAGGCGAAAGTTTCTCGGTCCCGCCTGGCTCTGTGGTCCAGACAAATCTCTCCCACCTGCGGTCCACAGCTGCTTATAAAATAATTACACAGAGGCTTATATTAAATACAAACTGTATGGCTGTGGCTCAGGCTTCTTGCTAGCTAGCTCATATAACTTAACTCAACCCATTTTTGGCTCACCGGTACTTTCACATTTTCCTTCTTGGATGGCTGGATCGAGTCTCTCCCGACTCTACCCTTCTTCATCTCCATCTTCAGTTTGAATGTACCACCTAACCATATTCTGCCTTGTCATTGGCCAAGCAGCTTTATTTATCAACCAGTGAGAGCAACACATCTTCACAGTGTACAGAAAGACATCCCTCAGCACTTCTCTTTTTCTGTCTAATCAAAAAGGAAGGTTTTAATTTTAACATAGTAAATTACATATAACAAAACAGTTATCAAGCAAGAATTACAGTTGTAATTATCTAGTCTAATTGTATTTGGCAAAATTAAAGAAAATACTCTATCCTATTTTTGTGACTCTAAAGGTTTATATCTAATTTATCTTTTATCATGACTAAGGAAAACTGTAATTATGACTATCTAGTCTTCAACTCCATCCAAGACCCCAGAAGGATATATTACCTAAGTAAACAGGAAGTGCATTGTAAGCAACTTCCAAAATTCTAGAAATGACAGAGACATCTGGCTGCCTGGACAGTCACCCCAGCCTCCTCTGCATCATTGGGGCATCCATCCTCAGCCTACAGACCTAGAGTCTCTGGCATACTTTTTAGTGAAGCAGGAAATTTGAAACTAATTGTTTTCCTCTCAGTAAAGTAAGAATATTAATAGCTAATGAAATACATTTAGTTCAGCTAGGTAGTGCTTAGATAGTTCCATAAAATAGACATTTTTATTATTATTTTATTTATTTATTTTGTTTGTTTTTGAGACAGAGTTTCTCTGTGTAACAGCCCTGGCTTTACTGGAACTTGCTTTATAGATCAGGCTGACTTTGAACTTAGAGATCTACCTGCCTCTGCCTTCTGAGTGCTGGGATTAAAGGTGCACCACCATGCCTGGCTATTATTATTATTATTGTTATTATTGAAATAGCATCTCTGCCTCAGCCACCCACGTGCAGGGATTACAGATGTGAGTCACCACACTCGGCTGTAACCGACAGTTTTTTAATGATTTATTTTTCTGTACGTGTATATGTTTGGGTGTTTTGGAATGTGCATGTGAATTCAGTACCTGAGGAGGCCAGAAGAGGGTGGCAGATTCCCCTGGAGCTGGAGGTACAGACTGATGTGAGTTGTGGGTGCTGGGAACTGAACTCAGGCCCTCTGCAAGAGCGGTATGTGCTCTCCACCCCTGGACCATCTCTCCGGCCCTTGTAGTAGACACTCTTACTATTGCTATTTTACAGATAAAGAGAATGAAGCAGAGAAGTAGCCGGCCTCCTGCCACACAAGAGTTCTTTCCCTTTCCTCTGATGTGTAACAGACTTACTAAAATGAACCAAAGAAAACTTGACTTAATTTCCTCATTGCCTCATGTTTCTTTTCTTCTAAATAGGCTACTTCATTTCTAAACCAGATGTGATTTCCTTGCTGGAGCAAGGGAAGGAGCCCTGGAAGGTTGTGAGGAGGAGGAGGCGAAACCCAGGTAAGTGAGGCTGTGTCAGGCTGGGGACACACCCACCTAGCTGAAAAAGAGGTGCACCAGCTAGATGGACTTTGAGAGCTGAGCATCGGGATAGGGGCTGTCAGTACAGTGGTAAACAGACATGTCCCTCAGGATTTGCCTTGTAATTAGAGAAGCCTAGTCGCTATAAAAAAGTAGAAAATAGCCGGGCGTTGGTGGCGCACGCCTTTAATCCCAGCACTCGGGAGGCAGAGCCAGGCGGATCTCT